ACTCAGACAACCCGCGGCGCACACCAATGCAGCAGTTACGATGGCCTCTCCTTGCCCACAAACGGTACGCAGCGCACCTCGTCCACTGGAACCGACGGCTACCTACCTACCACGAGCCCGTGGTGTAGCTCGCTACGTGGATCAAAGGCCCCGGAAAAGTGACATCTGGCGTGACCATGAGCGCAGGCCTTTGTGTTTCCATTGTGGGGAAGCAGGTCACCTGTATAGGTTCTGCCCTTACCGACAGGCAGGATTAAGGGGCTTTCCGTTGTACGCACCATGCCCTCGAAACGGTGAACGGCCAACCGAGATCGAAGAGTACTTGTCCGCGCGCCAGAGCCCACTCACTCCACGCCAACATCAGCCAAGATCGCCGTCGCCCAGGCGTTACCGATCACCCAGCCCACGTGCTTCTTCCGCACGGTCTGGGCACCGTTCTACAAGCCCACACCAGGAAAACTGAAGCAAGCGACCTGTGGAGGTGAGGCCGCTGATAACGACAGTTGCGAAGATCCTCCATTGCGGTTTCAAGGTGACGATGCTATGTTTACAGAGGATAAGCGCAGCAGTGCGAAGATTACTTCAGATTTGCGGTTGAAAATAGACGGATACGAGCTGAATGCTTTAGTTGACACCGGCGCTGATTATTCGGTAATGAGTCACAAATTGGCAAAGAAACTGAAAAAGGTTGTAACAAAATGGAGTGGGGCACAGATACGCACGGCAGGTGGCCACACTATTACACCGCTCGGCAGATGCACCTCAAGGCTCGAAATAAGAGGCTTTACTTACGTTGCTGACTTCATCGTGCTGCCGGACTGTTCAAGGGAGCTTATACTAGGAATGGATTTTCTGCAAGCCAATGGAGCCATAATTAATCTGCGCAGATCCAGTGTAACGTTTTCGACAGAACAAGCTATGTCGGTGGAGGAATCGGAAAAGCGACGTTTTACTGCTCTTCGCGTTGTTGATGATGACGTCACAGTGCCACCTCGCTGTAGTGTAATGGTGCTTGTTGAAAATAAGGCATTTTGTGACCACGAAGGAATAGCGGATGGAAACGTAGAGCTATTTTTAAACAAAGGAATTTGCGTGGCAAGGGGTGTTGTTCACTTAACAAATGGCCGCTCAGTTGTCCTCCTTACGAATTTTGGGAATGAATGTCAGCACATCGCGCAAGGTATGGCTATCGCCTATTTCCACGAGTTTTGCATGGCGACTGAACTATGCAGTTTAGCGACAACGCCAACCACTCCACAAGAGACCTGCAACGTCGACGCATCAGTTAACGTCAACCATAGGCTCCCAGAATATCAAAAGAAACGATTGTTCGCCCTTATAAAAGAGTTTTCGGACTGCTTTTCAACGTCCTCTAAGGTGCGACGAACGGCTATTGCAAAACACAGGATTATAACAGAAGAAGCCACGAGACCGATTTACCAACACCCATATCGAGTATCGCAAAAGGAAAGAGACGTCATCAAGAAACAAGTGGAGGAGATGCTTTCAGATGACGTGATCCAGCCTTCCAGCAGTCCATGGGCGTCTCCCGTAGTGCTTGTTAAAAAGAAAGATAACAGCCTTCGATTCTGCGTCGACTATCGGAAACTGAACAGCGTAACGAAACGGGATGTATACCCTCTGCCGCGTATCGATGATACACTCGATCGACTACGGAGTGCGAAATACTTCTCCTCCCTTGATCTGAAGAGCGGATATTGGCAAATTGAGGTGGATGAGCGCGACCGTGAAAAGACGGCATTCATAACCCCAGACGGACTCTACGAATTTAAAGCGCTTCCATTCGGCCTGTGCACAGCGCCAGCTACGTTTCAGAGAATGATGGACGCTGTCCTCGCGGGACTGAAATGGCAGTCCTGCTTGGTGTACTTGGATGACGTTGTCGTATTTTCCGCTACATTCGACCAACATCTAGAGCGACTCCGCACAGTATTAGAAGCCATTCGTTCAGCAGACTTGACCATCAAGCCAGAAAAATGCCACTTCGCTTTTGAAGAGCTTCGATTCCTCGGACACGTCGTCAGCTCCGACGGCGTTCGGCCAGATCCCGAAAAGACAGCTGCCATCGCGAAGTTCCCGACACCCAAAGACAAGAAGTCAGTACGTCGCTTCCTGGGTTTATGCGCGTACTATCGGCGATTTGTGGAAAATTTTTCGAACATTGCTGAACCACCTACTAATCTGACAAAAGACAAGGTGCCCTTTAGGTGGGAAAGTGAACAACAGAAAGCATTTGATGAGTTAAGAACACGCCTGCAAGCCTCTCCAATCCTCGCCCACTTCGATGATACTGCCGAAACTGAAGTTCACACTGATGCGAGTAACGTCGGCCTCGGAGCCATTCTAGTCCAGCGGCAAAACGGCCAAGAAAAAGTGCTAGCGTATGCGAGCCGCAAGCTTTCGAAAGCTGAGACAAATTACTCTGCAACCGAAAAAGAGTGTCTCGCGGTCATTTGGGCCATAAGTAAATTTCGGCCGTACCTCTACGGTAGACCATTCCGAGCAGTAAGTGACCACCATTGCCTGTGTTGGCTGGCGAATCTTAAGGATCCCTCTGGCCGACTAGCAAGATGGAGCCTTAGGCTACAAGAGTACGATGTTACTGTGGTATACAAATCTGGGAAAAAGCACAGCGATGCCGACTGCCTGTCACGCGCACCAGTGGAGACGAGTGAGCCGGAGGAAGAAGACTTCCCGTTTCTAGGCGTCGTCCAGGCATCAGAAATCGCTGAACAACAACAAAATGACCCCGATTTGCTGCCGCTTATACAGCGTCTCCAAGGACTCAACGTTAAAGTCCCGCGCACTTTATCCAGAGGGCTCCCTTCGTTCTGTCTTCGGGAAGGGGTCCTTTACAAGAGGAACTTCAAACCTCATGGTGACAAGTTTTTACTCGTTGTACCTGCACCTTTACGAAACGAGATTCTGCACGCATGTCATGATGAGCCAACATCTGGGCACATGGGTGTCAGCCGTACATTCGCCAGAATTCACCTAAAATACTACTGGCCAAAACTGTTATCATCAGTTCAGCGCTATGTGAAAACTTTCCGTGAGTGTCAAAGACGCAAAACTCCATCCGTGAAACCTGCAGGCCTCCTCCAGCCAATAGAACCACCGCATGCCCCATTCCAACAAGTTGGTATGGATCTCCTAGGCCCGTTTCCGACATCGACTGCACACAAGAAGTGGATAGTCGTAGCCACAGACTATCTCACTCGCTATGCTGAGACTGACTCGCTGTACACTGCAACATCTCTTGAAGTTGCCAAGTTCTTCATCAACAACATAGTCCTCAGACATGGTGCACCCAGCGTGGTAATTACAGATCGTGGCCCAGCTTTTACTGCAGACCTAATAAAATGTCTGATGCGAATGACCCACACAGACCAGAGAAGAACTACAGCATACCATCCTCAAACAAATGGCCTAACGGAGCGCTTGAACAGAACTCTGACTGATATGCTTTCAATGTATATCGACGTCGAACATAAACTGTGGGATGAAATATTGCCCTACATCACGTTCGCATATAATACAGCCGTTCAAGAAACAACGCGAGTGACACCATTTGAACTTGTATTCGGCCGAAGAGTCACCACTCTACTGGATGCCATGTTACCACTGAATGATGAAAGCAGCAATCCACCTGGCCTAGACGACTTCCTGCAAAGAGCCGAGGAAGCACGACAGATGGCGAGATACAGAATACGCCGCCAACAACGTATCGACTCCTATCGGTACAATCAGCGTCATACCGAAGCGCATTTTCAACCAGGTGACAAAGTATGGATATGGACCCCGGTGCGTCGCCGCGGACTTTCTGAAAAACTTTTTAGCCACTACTTCGGGCCTTACGAAGTACTCCGTCGTGTAAGCGATGTAACTTACCAAGTCAGATCCGCTATACACGGGAGCTCAAAACGCCGCAACCCTACAGAGGTTGTACATGTAGTCCGGATGAAGCCGTACTATGAGAGATCACCGGAAGACCAGTGACGCCTACGCCTACGACGAATCTATTCATTGCCTGACGCATCGGGACGATGCGTGTGAGGAGGGGGATTATGCCACGACATAGTGCCCGCATTCAAACAACGCGCCCATCACCACGCGCACAGAAACATACATGGGCGCCGTCTAGTGTTGCGCAGAGACGATGATGATAGCACGAGAACCCAGCTGGCCCCTGCTGATGTGTGCCACGCGCTTGGGACTCTTCTTGAAGAAGTAGAAGAAGAAGACATCTTGCCGTTCTGCTGTAACGTGCTACGACCATAGTCCCTTTGAGTTGTGGGCACAGGTTCGCCCTTTAATAAATACGTTTTGTTATACCCCGAGTCCTTCAACATCGTTACAATATTACGAAGGTAAACAACACATCGAAACATGATAATCGTGACACGGAAGTCATTTACACCTTCATTTGCTTCTACCTCGTAACGTTGTGCTAATTTTAAAGGACATATTAACATTTCTCATTCGTGCTTTGCATATCATCGATTCCCACTGTATGTGGGATCTGCCAATTTTTTTATTGAGATCTATACTTTCAGCTGGAAATTTTGTTTGTAGTTCTTTTTAAATTGGTACTGCTATGTTACAGTGTTTTTTCTCATTGACATCGTGTGGTTTTCTCTTTGTACCATGACAGTAAGTTATAAATCCAGACAACTTTTTTTTAGCATTCAACATTTTGCTCCCTTTTGAAACTCTGTTCCATAAGACAAACTGTATTTATTGAAGATTCTTTGAATGTCTTGTACACTCTGTCTCTCGTTCTATTCTTCAAGTTCTAAGCACAGGATAGTAATCCGGGTGTTGCGGCCAAGTTAACTGGCCTGCCTTCTTTACCTTCTTTGTGCTGTCCCCGCCTCCCCCTTTCACTGTATATCTGTCTTGTCAGTTGAATATGAATCATTGGGCAAATCAGCATACCTCTTTAGTGTCCATTTAATGGTGTTCTGCTTCGCTTGCAGAAATCTTCTTCAAAGCTTACAACCACTGAGCTTCTGTTTGTGCTTGGAGAGCTCGCCGCCAAGCTGGACTGGGCTCTTCCCTCAAGTGGACCGAAGCGTGCGTTTCCGTTTAAGGTATGGTTCTTTTCACGGCACCTGCTAAGTAACCTCTGCCTCTTCTCTGGTTCACAACTGCCGCGGTGGTGTACCGGTTTTATGCAACGGTGTTACGTTGTGTGTTCTCGTTTTCTTTGAATGTTGCGCGCAGGCCAAGGTGCCACGTGATGTTGGCTTCTCCAACTTGGCTCTCAGTCCCAAGCCAGATGTGGTCAAGTTCATGGTCAGTGTGGTTCCGCACCTGTGTTCTCTTCTGGAGGACGTCAGTGGGTACTTTCAGGTAAAGTAATTACCGCGGAAATCATTTCATGGAATACTCGTGCTCACAAGCATGCGTTGCCACACTGTCATACACAGAACCAGATGTGTTATCAAAATTGGTTGCTAAAATGATGCGTTGCGTAAATGAGGTTGTATTTTGCGGCTTGTTCTCCTGTGATTTTCTAATGAGTCCTCTGAAAAAATAAAAAATTGTCTCAACTTGGAGCAGAAGAAGGTCAACTGATACAGATCATACAATTTTCAGGCTGCTTTTATATATGTATGGTGTGTAGTGTTAGCCTTTCATGTAATCTCATATTGCATAATGTTTTGAATGTCTTTTGCATTGCATCACCTTCTGACCTAGCACTTTGCATAGGCTACAGAAACCAAGTTATTTCTGTTAAGGAAAAAAGAAAAGTACCACCTTAGTGTTACATCGTGTTATTCATTAACCCCTTGCATTTTTGTATATTAAACTTTGCCATGTTTTCTCGGCTTAAATTTTACTTATTAAGAGTTTCAACACAGATATCTTGCAGTAATAAAATTATCAACCTAATTCTTGGCTTTTTTTTTTCCCCTTCAAAATTGCTCATATTTTAGCTGGCTAGCATTCACTGTTCCTGAATAGTAGAAGAAATAGCTTGCTGGTACTTACCTAACTTTACAGCAGTTATGCAACCAAAATGTTCATATTGCCTTTATCTACAGATATAGGACCAGTGCTTGACAACAATAATAATAAAATAAAAGTGAGCACTGTTTTTGTTCTTATCTCTCTGCTTTTGTTGCCAGGACTTGATATCCCAAAATGACGGCATTGTCGATGCGGCCTCTATGTTCACGAGTACAGCCAAGGAGACAGCATCTTGCATGACTCTGTTGCTGACCTGTCTGAATGCCTTCTTTTCATGGTAAGTCTGATCCAGTAATTTAATTGTCCTCTTTCATTCATAGCAGGCAATGCTATGAGGTCAAAGAGACTGATTACTCATATTTGGAGTATACCATGTATACGTGACAGTATTAGTTCAGTTGAGGGACTCCAATTTAGTACAGTTGATCCCGGATATATTGAACTCGAAGGGAATCTCAAAATAGTCTGAATTCAAAATGCAAAATATGCATATTTAAAGCTTGAAGGACTTCAAGCCTCGAAAATCATTACAAGTGCTAACATTACAATTTGCTCACAGTATAGTGAAGTGTAGGGTGTGAATTGCAAGTTACCGCACATAGTTTGTAAACTTGTCTTGCTTCTTGTGCACCATAAAGTTCCAGTCCTCCTCAGTATCTTTGAAGCTTTTTTAATAAGTGAATTCAGTTCCTTTGGCTACTACAGCGTTGATTAATGCAGAATGCCAATGCAAGCTTTGTAGTGTGGTAAAAGGTTGGTTAGCGGTAGCGGCAAAGGCGTTGGCATATTTGTAACCACACGGATACACTTTTACGGCATTGGCAACAACAGCCATGATCTCAGCATCGATTCAGTTGGAAAAAGCTACATCGTCACCTGCACCGATGAAGTCGCTCACTGTCTGAGATGGTGCACGGAAACGCTGATAAGTCGCAGAACTCACTGAGGCACTCGACGCCGTTGTCAGTGGTCGTGACGCACCCGAAGTCGTCAGTTCTGCGCTACGTTTAATAATGGTAGTTGTCACCTGACCTGCAAGGAAAGTTTACGACAGTGCTTTACTTGACGTCACTTTGGGCCAGTCTTATTTTTTATCGCTAAGTGCTAGTCAACCTTCTGTCCAACTCCTGAATGATGATTTATCGAGAACGAGGCAAGAAGTACACAATTTCACAAGGCACAAAAGACAAGGCCAAGTTCCCACGGTCGACATGTTGGCGATATTGATGTCACTTGAGGTTTTTTTGCTGGCAGCCGGTGTTTTCAGCTGCTTTCATGCGAAAAGCTAGAAAAAGTGTAGACTCTAAGACGTGCGTTTTAAAACCAAAAACACTAAAAAAATATGTCACGATGTTGCACATCTCGAAGGCCATGCTTTTCAAGCTCTCATGCCCATCGCATGCCATTGTGCGCTAACAAGGAAGAGAATACGAACATTGCAATGAGATTGTCGAGTCACTTCGCATTCTCATTTCTTGGTTCTTGGCAATCAGTTATTTTGAAAAACACTGTCGGCACGCATCAAACATACAGGTGCACTCGCAAGTGCCGCGCAACGACCCAGATAAGCGAGATGTAATAACACCGCCTTTTCGTCACCTGCGCACGGAAAAAGATCAGAACTTGCTAGAATGCGGTCAAAAATTGATCGATATTTGCTAGAAAAAATGCAGTCTCTGTGCTTCGGCGCGGCGCAGTGTTCAATATGGCGGATGTCCCTCCGTGTGGGAGTTGGCTATACAGGTGCACCGGTCCAGCATTTTTGGATAGGAAATTCAAGAGGATTTCTCAACTGTTCGGTATGGCCAATAATTCGATATATCTGAGTAGGATATATCCGGGAATGACTGTAGTAATATTTATACCTTCCTTTCACAAAATGGTCTAACATATTCACTGCATTGATAACATCTAATATCTCAAGCTGTTTACCATTGAGTGGCACATATATGTGACCTGTATTCACAGGGCAACTACTAACACTTGCAGACAGAATATAGTACATTGAGTGCAGGAAACACGAAGCCACATGTGTAATATTGTATTTGAGATAACTTTACATTTGCAAGTTATAATGTATATAGTAGTGGTTCTGTATAAACCATTGCAAGAGGCAAACAGCTGAACTACTAACTAATAGGTGCACAACTTTGTTAGTTGGACTGCTTTCATACTTCTTACTGTGCTGCCTGCAAAAGTGTGGTCAGAGTATGTTTATATTCTGACATGAATAAGTAGTGATTCATGCAGGTATAGGCACATATTGTATTTGAAGCACATATGCAAGGTACAATAGCATTGGCACCTTGTCACATTTTATTTAATCAGCACACATGCACACCTTTTATGGCAGTCATTGCTTGAACTCGGCTGTAAGCAGTAATTGCGCTGTAAAACGATGCTTCTAGTAACATTATCAGCGGGCACTGTGTTATGCCGAGAGAGTTATAATTTAAGCTGGCATAAACTGCTACTCTGGATTTTTATATAAAGAACAGTACACAAGGCATAGTGTCACGTGGTCGTGACGTTGAAAAAAGCAGCAGTTGGTATGTACTAGATGAAACTAATTATTTGGCTGAACTTGTAGCCAGGAAATGGAAACTCAAACTACACCAAGCAATGCACACTCTGCACAGATATCTACGAACAGAGCATCAGCCGCTGATAATCTGCCAAGCGATGAAGCATGTCGGCATTTATACATGTACCATTGAAGTTTCCATCATTATTGCTAGTGGTCGCACAAGTTCTAGAGCAAACTCTAATGTTCATGTTGTGTGCTGTAATCTCATCAAAAGATTTCAAGATTATCTAGATGGTTCCCAGTGTGGTTTGCGTAAGGCAGCAGTTACACGTCTAATGCAGCATCAAAATAGCTAAAGCAAGAAAGGAGCATATGTGGCAATAGTATCACCTTCTGGCCTTGCTATAAGAATTTGTAAGTGTATTCTCTTTGTTGTAGCTAAAGTTGCCTAGTTTTTTTTTCTAGCTTTTAGTACAAAAATCTCGATATACTTAACACTGATATGCCTGTCAAAGCTTATTGAATGCAATAAAGTGAATACAGTTAAACCTCGTTATAATGAAATTGGAGGGCTGCGCTATTTGCTCATTATAACCAATTTTTCGTTATAGCCGTAGCGGGCATTTACCGCAAATATTATGCACTGTACTTACTCAAAAAAAAATAGCGGGCGAAATAGCATCCCGCTGCACGGTGGTATGCAACAAAATAACCGCATTCCCAAATAAAAAGGAAAAAGTCATGCGCCAGTTTTGATGCACTTCAAAATACACAGCTTGCATTTCAGGCAGACTTAGCTGCAAAGAAGTCCATATTTGGACGTTGATGCATCTTCCTGATGCGAACGATGGCTCGCTCAGCTGCGGCCGCAATGTTCAAGTCATCTTCGCCGCCCTCGTGAGCGCCAAAGTAGCGGCGCAGTATGTCCATCGTGTCTAATGCCTCCGACGCCGTCGGCACGTTTGTCTCCTGTTCGTCTACAGAGTCATCGTCACTGGTTTCGTTACGATCACTGACAGCGCGCACAATATCGTCATCCAGGAGCTGCTCCGTTGCCACCACTTCCGAGTCCGCACTCACATAGTCGCAAAACGACTCGCTGTCAGGCACGACACCGGCGTCACAAAGTGCCGTCCATGATGCAGCGACTTCGTCTGATGTGGCAAAATCGTCCGGCACAGTGGGCTCGTCTGATGGCTCATCGCTGGCGTCTGGTGCGGCGGCAAATAAGGCGTGTCGAAAGCAGTTTGCGATCGTGGTCGCCGTCACACTCATCCACGCCGCCTGAAGCATTTCGAGCGCAGCTTACAAGTCAACATCGGTGTCTCGCTTCATCCTCATGTTGAGCAGGAGCTTGTCTATCACACGCTTGCGGTAACCTGCCTTCAGCGACATAATCACGCCTTGGTCAAGCGGCTGTATTTTTGCTGTGCAGTTGGCAGGAAGTAACAGCAGCTCGATGTTTTGAAGCACGGCAGCGGTATGGTGGGCGGTGCAGTTATCTAAAACGAGGCACACCTTGCGGTTCGCCTTTGCCAGCTTCTCGTCCCATTCGCAAAGCCATTTTGAAAAAATCTCCCTGGTCATCCAGGCTTTGCGATTGGCTACGTACTTGACTGGGAGCTGCCTTTTTCCCCCTAAAGCAGCGAGGGGATGCACTTTTGCCAATTACGAAAATTGGCAGCTTCTCAGAGCCGGTCATGTTTGCACAAAGTAGCGCAGTGATCCGCAGCTTACTTTGTTTGCCGCCATGGCACGGCTCGCCTTTGAGAGCTAACGTCTTGTGCGGCAACATCTTGAAAAAGAGAGCGATTTTGTCCGCGTTAAAAATATCCTCCGCGCTGTATTTTTCTAGCAGCCGCACGATGTTTTCTTTCGCCCACTTGGTAGCCTCTGCTTCGTCGACAGATTGCGATTCGCCGCAGACCGCTCTCCCGACAATGTCGTGGCGCTCCTTGAAGCGTTGGAGCCAACCCGAACTTGCTACGAAGTTGTCATAGCCCATGATGCAGGCAAAGTCCCTCGCTTTTCTTTGCACCAAGGCGCCACTCATCGGCAGATTCACGGCCCGCGTGTCCAAGAACCATTTAAAAACGGCCCTTATGACCGCTTCAAAGGCAGGTGCCCTCATCCTCTTAGCGCTTCCTTTCACGCCACGTGCAACAGCGTCCATGATGGACTCCTGCTTGCTCAAGATGGTTGACAGTGTGCTCGTCGATACGCCAAAGTCTCTTGCCACGTTGCCTTTCTTGGTCCCCGATTCAACGGCTCTTATCATAGCTGCCTTCTGATTTAGCGTTATGCGCTTTCGCTTCCCGCCTGGCGCATTCATGTTGCTAGAATCATGAGCGCAGCACGATAAAAGATAAGGCGGAAGCGGTCGAAAAAGAGAAGAAACACGCACGCAAAAGCAACGTGGCTCACGTCGGTGAGCAACAACACTTGCAGAGAAACTTACTGTGAAGAGGAAGGGGCAGAAGGGGCGCTCTTTTGTGCTGCCCTCTAGGAACCGGTTACTCAAGGGGAAGGGGGTATGTAAGATTAGGAAGCGCGCCTCAGCGCCATGAGAAAGGGGAGAGGGAGAATATAAAGAAGACACAAAAGAAAAGAAAAGGGCGAGACGTTCGCGGAGCGCTCCGCTGTCGGTGGTAGCCAAGCGGCGCACGTGCAGCGACATCTCCTCCGGAAACAGGGCATGCCGTCTGGTTTGCGCGCGTTGCTGGAGGGCGCGTGGCGGGGGTTTTGAACTGCTAAATACAGTTCTCAGGTTGCGCGCTGTCTCAAATTCGCGTTCTGCACTGTCGTGACATCGGCTCAAAATTTTACTTCCTAACAAAATTTGTTCGTTATATCCCATAACAGGCAAATTTTGCCTCGTTAAAACGAGGTTTTGAATACATTGGTTTGTATGGGGACTTTCAAGGAGAATTACGATTTGCTCGTTATATCCATTACTTCGTTATAGCCCGTCTTGTTATAACGAGGTTTAACTGTATAAAATGTCTTTTTTTAAGTGATGCCTGCATGTAACTAATCTCTTCTTTTAAATATTTAATGAAGCCATATATATATTTTGTGATCAATGTCACTTTTCTTTTAAGGACGCTTAGCCGTAACGACATTTGCCATTAAGTACTTGTCAATTCATAACATTTTGCCATGTGATTTTGCAGGAATGGTTTTGAGACAAGTGACAACCGAGACCAGCTGTGTGAAGCATTCCGTTCCATATCTGACCGCATTGGAACAACACAGTTGACACAGGCCTACGTCATGGCTCTGGGAAAGTGAGTGCTGCCATTCTAGGATACTTTTTTTTTTTTTTCATTCTTGCTATGTCTTGCTGCTACACGTGAAGTGCTAGAAAAGTTCCAGGGTGATGTTGGCTACTGCGGCAACCTGCACCAAATTTTTTTAGGATTATTGTTGAACAGGCTTTAATGCTATGCTAGAAACAATAAATAAATAAAGAAAGCTGGAAACCCCAGCTGAACACAAATGCTAATTAGCGAGAGACACAAGTGTTTTTTCTTCCTCTTCTTCTCTACTTTTACACTTTCGTCATTGGCTCTGTGGTAATGCCACCACTTGTGCACGCACTCTGCTTGAGCTTTACTGAATGTGCGAATTGTCTACCGGCAGTTATGCTTTTACGAAAGGTGGCCTGTATATGACTACTCCTATACCCAGGGATCCATGCTGGTGTTGTGGCAGATTTTCTCTATTATAGCATTTACTAAGCTCGGTCCAATTTCGCCGACAGCATCAGATGGTGGAAAAATTGGGGCAGCTTGTTTGTCCTTGCGTCCGTAAAGACAAGGATCTTTTTTTTTATTGTCCAATGAAAGAATAAAATGTTATTTAAGTATGACATAGCTAGCGTGATGGTGCACATCCACTTAGTGGTAGAAACAGGTGACCGGGCACACTCTGCCGCTGCTGACAAACCCTGGACTACGCAAAGCCAGTGAGAGGTGGAGTAATGGTTTTGGAAATGTGTAGTACGTGGTAGAACCACTTTAAACTGCACCCACTTTCGTTACTGCTCGCCAACAGAGTGGGAAGAGTGAAGATTGTACGTATACATAAAAGACAATGCAAGATGGGTATGCAATAACATGGTGTACTATCGTCAGCAATATGAGTTCGAACACGCGAGCGCGTGGAAAATAGCCTCGAACCCTACATCGGTCGATTCGCAGCAGCCGCTGTCGGAAACAAAGTGGAAAGGGCGCCGCGCTTCTGATAGCTGCTGACACGCCCGTCTCGATATCGTAGGAGCAAAACCGCAGCTTGTAGTATGTCTAAAGCTGCTAGCGGCAATATCAATCTACATGATCACGCATAGCAACATCCAGTGTTATATCAAATTATGTAGCTGTCGCGATATCAGCTGTGACGTAGTCTCCCGTGATGCACAGGCCATGATTTTACCAAGTCTATGTGCTGTTGGCTACTCATTTTGATATGCTTCTTTTGTTATTTTTTTTTCTTAAAATAGCGATATCGCAGACCATGGCCGTTTTTGCCAAGTATTGTTCTGGGTTCCAGTGCCTAAACATGTCGTGAGTGCCTATGCATAAGCGGGAAGGAGTCGTTCAATTATCACTGGAAGGTTACTCGCAGCACAACATTACTACCTTGACAGGCTGTAATCTCAGCACTGTCAACAGAATAGTACAAGGGTATCGAGGTGAAAGACGAATTAAAGATGCGCCACACAAAAGGTGACACCGTGCCACGTCGTTAGACCAAGATCTGCAAGTTGCTACTGTAGTCAACGAGAAACCATTTGGAGTGCGAAAGATGTGCGCCGTACTCTAGACCTTGTGAATGTAAGTTACAGCACAATAAGGCGGAGGCTAAGGGAAGCCGCACTCCGAAGTCGCATCGCTGGTCAAAAGCTGCTTATCACATGTGCCAACAAAACGGCTCGCCTTAAGTTCACAGTCAATCACCGCAGCTGGACGGTGGAGGACTGGAAATAGGTCATATTCTCCGACAAATCAACTTTCTCCAGCTGCTGGGAGCAGCAGACAAGATTGTGGCGCATGGAGAACACGTTTGCTGGTGTAGGAGGTAGCCGCAAGTGGTGGCACATGGGTAAATGTTAATGCAGCTATCTCGCGTGAATGACCTAAGTCCCCTTGCAAGAATCTCCGTGAGATTCACAAGTTATGCGTATTGCACGCTGCTGGAGCACGAGATGATTCCATATGTATTGAATAGCCCACACCCGGATGGATGCTATTTATTCCAGCAGGATTTGTCTCCCGTGCATATAGCAATGGACATCGCACGTATTTTATATGAGCGAGGGGTAATGCGTCTTAAGTGGTGCGCAAGAGTGTGGACATGAACATTATTGAATACGTGTGGGCATGTATGAAGGCTAACCTTTCTAGGATTTTTTTGGACTTGGTGACAGCTGATGAACTGTGGGAAGCTCTACAAAAAGAGTGGAAACATCTTCAAGCTGATACAGCCTTCATCGAGGCGCTCTGCAGGTCTCTGCCAGAAAGAATGGAAGCCGTGATTCAAGCCGGTGGAGCCATGACCCATTATTAGTCCAGTAAACGAGTATGAAAAGAGCAAGCTAGCTGATAAATTCTGTGCATTAAGATTTTGTTACAATTTTGGGAGCATCCAATAAATGTTTTCTACAGCATGTGACTTTTCTCGGACCACGAGACCAGCAAACTGCACAATAGTCATAAACAACAATACTGTTTTTTTTTTTTTTTTTTCTACGCGAGTGCTACAATATCAAGGTGGCATCTTTACGAGACGTTCTCCGCTAGCAAGTAAAGGGATACAGTGGTCTTTTGCGCCGTACCCTAGGCAACAGATTACCATGTTCTGCATACTATAATCTCTTATCATTGCTAGCAGCTGATGGCACGTAATAAGCTTCCATTCGAAGCAACGCCAGAGAAACGGAAGTGAAAACAGTTAATGGAAGAGCACCCCTCCTTTCCCCGCTGGTTTCGGCAGCACCATCCACGTACGACGTTATCTCGGTATTGAGGCTCTTTGCCATGTGCTCGCGCATTCGAGCTCACATTGCTCACAATAGGACATCAGCAATGCTGGCATAATTTTTCCGTATTATTTACAAGATTTGTATCTTTTTGTAGTTCAAGTATTTTAGGTTATCTTTCAGGCATGTAAGAACAGTTTGGTTATAAGTTTGAAATGGTTGAATGCTCCAACCCATCGCGGAAGCTTCAGGCCTACTTCTTCATCGTCAAGAGTTACAGCACCAGATAAACTGCGCAAAATTCCTTCCAAGTCTGTAGCGGGTATCACACTTCTCCGAAGAATGTCGAAGAATGGCATAGTGAATGCCTCCCTACTACACAAAAATTATGATGGTTAATGGTGGAGTGGGTACCTTGCAAGTGTGCTTGTAGCAGTTACCCTAAGAGGGTTTAGAAAAGGCTCTGAAAGGCCGTTCTTCCAGCTTTCGTTATGACTGTGTTGTGCATCTCACGCAGGCCTGGAGGTTCTTGTTCTGTCATTGGGCACAAAAAACTAAAATAAAACAGATTGACTAATTCATTGATTAAATGATTGATTGATTGATTGATTGATTGAGTTTTTTGTAGCAACTGCTAACTTGCTCTTCATTTTAGACGGGCGTTCTCATATTTTGCCAAGTTTGCCGAGTCCGTGACAGACCCAGCGGGAGCAACAGCACTGCTTCGGCTTTTGGGAACAGTTGCTGATCGTTCTCAGATGTACTCACTTGAGCAGCGTGGCATCCGTGAAGTCGCCGAGGGCTTCCTTCGGCGCAACTGGCTTTGTCGTGTTGGCACGTCAAACGTGCCTCAGAGGCCACAGGGAACACACTTCAACGAGTGCCTTCAGGTCATGCTGAGGTCTGTTGTCATTACTTGCTGCCTTTGTTTAGTCCTTTGTTTGGGCCAGTTTTGTTGCTTTTAGTTAAAGGGACATTAGGCATTAGAGCTGTTACAATTTCATTTCACAGCCTAAATGCTGGGAAATGACATTTTAACAGCTCTAATGTCATTAATTTCACAACTGCAGATGAGAATATGTGTCAAAAGTTTCACTTTTAAATTTGCCTCATCTCGCAGAAAGTATGGTGTTGGTCTCACGTAAGAGTAATTTACAAACACTAGAAAAATATGTTTTTTTCTTTTTAGCATTCTTTTAAATCATGTATCAACTCAAGAGAGTTGCTATACAGTGTGCCAGTTTAAAGAAAGTTCGAAACGCAGCAGTAGTCACCATGGGGCCAGAAGCTAACTTAACTAATATTGAGAATCAAAGCCTCAGCTAATCTCTACCCCTGCAGTCTTAGTTCTATGGGTAGTGGATTTCATCGCAATACTTATACCTGGGTACTGAATTCCTTGTCCAAATTTTTTTTCCATCATGCTTTTGCTATGCGTTATTACGTAGTTTGTGCTGAAGTGCACACCTTCTGCAGTGTCTGCTGTGCTAGCATTGCTAAACCTGCCTTCCTTTCTTTTTTCTTTTTCTGCAAGTCCAGCACTGAATGTTCCTTTGCAGGAGCTAAAACCAGTACTCAACACAGCTGAATGATCTGAGGAAAGAGGGACTCGTATTTAAAAAACAATATTTAGTGCTTCGTTTAGATCTTTTCTTACTTCCTTTTAACTTTGTTTTGTAATGATTCTTGTTATCATGTACAGAAAGTCCATTTCAGTTTCTGAATTGGGGACCATCTTCTGTATGTGCATATGATGTAATCATCACCCTTAATTAACAGGAATGAACTGATTCTGATTCAAAGCTCTGTTAATCAATACCTCAAGACTTACAAGCATAATCAGAATTTTTCTCACTCTTCATTCATTTATTTCTCTGCAACACAGCACATTCCTGTCAGAGTCGGAGTGTGTACTTCAGAGCCTGCACGAACTTGCGACTGACTGCCTGCCCAGTATTCTGGAAGAATCGCCACCAGCCCAGCAGGAGGAAGAACAGTCAAAGCAGTTTCCTACACTCGACAAGTGAGTCATCATTACGACTGCTTATCATTGCAGCTGGCATGCTTTCCTATGCCTAGTATGGGTGGATGGATAGATGAACTTTAGTAGGTCCTTCGGAATGCACTTCAGCACGTCGGGGGCTGCTCTCAGGTCGGAACAGAGGAACCAAGTCTCTCTGCTGTGTCATGGGTCTGTTGGACTGCCCATAACTATTGTTTGAGTGTAGAGCTTGCATGACTAGTATGTGCTAAACAGAATATAGTGACTCAGGAGTTAAACAAGCCAAGTTTGAAGGTCAATCGCAAATAACTTTGACTGTGGGAAGATCAGTTAGAAATGAGTTGTACACACTCATATGATCATGGCAAAACTAAAGAGAAGATTTTAACATTGCTTGGATACAGAAAGAATGTGATAATGAGACACTAGTAAAACAATGGATGGGTCAGATTGCATTCATCGAATCCAAGCCAGATGAATCTGAGGATGGGATACTAATGTAACATACATGACGATTCCTCGCATAACACATTGCGCCTTGGGTGTTTGAGGTGTCTGTTGGGTAAAATTGTTTAATAAGAACCTTAAAATATCAGTATTGAAGTTAAACTTTTCATAAATGTAACCATTATTTCTTTTTCTGTTTTTTTTCACTCTCTTCTTATTGTGGTCCACTTAATTTAATTAAACAGCACATTCTCAGTAAACAGAAATGTCTTAAATGAAATATCTGCTTAATTGGAACAACTTCCCCTAGTATGATTGGCCTAATACTTGAATACCCCCGTTCATCTCTCAGTAAATGGCGCTCCTGTTAAACAGAATGTATCTTTCCAGTCGTATCAGGTTTCTTTTAATGAGAGCCTACTGTACTTTATTTAGCTCTCCAGCATTTACAAGGCCTTCTATTACTCAAAAATTCAATTGCGTTGAAATCTCAGCGTATAAGTACCGTATTTATACGACTGTTAGTTGGCTCGAATGTAGGTGGACCACCAAAAATTGCATGGAAAAAAAGGGGAGCAGGAGCATATTTTATGTCTCAAAAAAATTTTTTTTTAAATACTCGATCATTTTCTGAACTAATTTTTGATTCCAGATCGATACTATCATGTCAATAGTGAATATGGTTGCACAAACTCGTTTTTGATGCACACGAACTCATTTTCATAAATTGCTTTAGAAGTTCTTCGTAAATTTTTTTAAGGTTCTGTAGTAAAACAGCATCCCATTGGTTCCCATCGCCACCTTAGTGCTGTATAAATAGGCTTTTTTTCTATTCTGCAGGTCTACTCTCAATGTATACTACAAGACAATGTTCTCCAACCTGGCCGATGGCGTCCAAAGCCTCTCTGTAAAAGTAGTGACGAACCAAGAGGTATGGTTGCCACTAAAGAAAAGCTTCTGTTTTCAGTGTGACAAAGATATTACCACACTAAAATGGAACGCCTGTGCTGTTTTAGGAAAAGGTGCAGCAGCTTGAGAAGTGGACCCTAGCTGTCGAAATATTTCACAAGCTGGTGGAGGTCGTTAAGGTAAGTCTTCTCATGTTTCGTTAGTGTTTTATGAATGGAATTTTAGTAGCGGTAGAAAAGAAGAATGTCAATATACTTGGAAAACAAGTGAAAGCCTGGGGAGCCCAGTTAGTCCAGAGCCATACGCTGCGTTATCCCCACAAACTTCTTAATCTCATCTGCCCACCTATGTTTCTGCCTGCCCGTGATGCGCTTACCTTCTCTTAGAATTCACTCTGTTACTCTTAAAGGGATACTGAACAAAAATTGTAAAAACTTATGGAACTTGAAATTCGACTCAGAAGATGCCACTGTTTGATAAACAGAGTTTATTTCCCGTATTTTTGAACAGTCGGTTGCATTTTCAATGAATTGTCAGCACGTGGCGGCTGCTCGCGAGCGCAAGCCGTCATGTCACGCTCACCGAAAAGCACGCAGGATGCACATGTTCTTGTCCTGCTCTTCGTTATCTCCACTTCTCCTTTCATCCCACTCTTTTCCTTCCACAAAAGCACTCGTGCTTTGCCCCAGCCGGAAGCATTGTTCCCTGCTGTTGCGGTTCATACTGGTTTTGGGAACCGAAGTGAGAGTTGATCAAGTTGAAAGACCCGGGCAAAGGCTGGCATTGTTGACTTGCCCGTTTCGGATGTTTCTGAACGTCACCAAACGCTACCATCTCTAGTTCATGGCGTGGCGGCCAAACGCAGCAGTTTGTGAAAAACACATTAAATTTATTCATTTCCCATACTAGTTTCACCCTGGAATAAAGGTTGTGTCTATCGATTTCGGGACACAATCTTTCAATTAGGCTGGCGGCAAAATTTTGTTCAGTATCCCTTTAATGACCAGTGCAGCACGCGCAGGACCAGGTTGATTGGTGAAACATGGGAGAGGCCTTCACCCTGCAGTGGGTGTACTCAGGCTGATGATGACAATGATCCTTACTTGGCTCCTGACTTCTCCTGTTACACTGAATGTAGGATAGACGGTGTTTTAAAAAGAAGTGCTTGTTCGGCTTCTGCTCTACCTTTTCAGAAATTACCTGTGCGGAAGAACCTGGCTGTTTGTTTGAAGGTAAGCACTCTCTTTAGTTTCAACTAAGATCATATTCGCATTTGAATGTCCCTAGAGTTATAAGAGTTTCCTGATGAAAATTCAGTAGCCTTGTGCGAATAGTGAATTTTAGGTTCAAAGCAAATACTAATTTTAGTCTAATCATTTCTAATCAAGTTTGAATAGTATATAGCACATATTCTAAAGAAAAATAAACATATTTGTCATGACCTAACTAATGTGCACAATAATTTTTTTAATTGAAACACGGCCTGTGCAAACGTCATTTTTTTTTTTTCAAAGAAAGTGGGAACAGCTTTGAACAGTAGAAGGATTTGACCTTTTGCAGAATGCAAGTGATTACCCGTAAAATATGTTATATTTAATATTTTACTATACTTCGAGCATACAAGTCTATAAGTGGCCCTCTAAGCTTAAAAAAAATGAATCGGTGTGCGGGCAGTATGCTTATTTAACCTTGAAGTTAAATCAAGCGGCAATCGGATCTTTTTTGTGTAGGCATGTTCAAGGCTTAGCACTTCTTTTCTGCAGTGAAACCACCTTTACAGGAGATTACATGTGGACTAATACACATTTAAGCAGGTGCTTTCATGGCTTAGCACCCCTTCAGTGCAATGAAACCACCTCCACAGGGGTTGTATGTAGGTTAAGATGCGTCTATTCATTCATCTCGAGTACTTCAAAATTTTCAATAGTATAAACTTGAATCAAAGTGAATTCGGATACTGTAATATTTGTTCGAATATTCAAAGCATTCGAATGTTCAAATAAGCCTAAAATTAAGACAATTAGTGAAGTAGAGAAGGCTGCATGGGCACGTAAGCGTTTCGCACTTCACAACCCCTCTTATCCCTCCTTCGCAGATGTGATGCGCCGGGGCGCCGCACCACATCTTTTTTCCACCCGCCAATATCACACAGAGTGTGGCCGCGGTTGTGCCATCAGCGCCCCCGGCTGGAGCAGCCTGTACTGCTCCGCCACCTGACAAACAAGGTCGGCAGACTACCGTGTCTGCTGGACCCCGGACCACTGCAAACGCAGTTAGGTCCGAAAGTTCTGTGAATGTGCCTGCCGAGCAGGCACCATCCACCACCTCACAAGAGGTGATGGATACACGTCCCACTCCTCCGGCGACTCAGATGCCGTAGGATAGGCGCAACTCTTTGGAGCGCGCCAAAAAAGAAAAACTCCGAATTACAGGGCCCCCCAAAGGCCCTGTAACTGAAGGCAACACTTCTTGTACGCACAGCACCACAAAACATTAAAAATGACACAAAACTACAATGGAACATGAGAGAACTGTTAAGGAACCTTGACAATATCCAGGAACCTTTACACAAACATACACCAATTGTGCTGTGTGTGCAAGAAACTCACTTAAAATCGAAACACACCAACTTCTTACGCAATTACGTTATTTTTCGAAAGGACCGAGATGATGTGGTCGCGTCATCCGGTGTTGTTGCCATTATAGTTAATAAAAGAACAGCCTGTACACATTTACTGCCTCAAACATCTCTTGAGGCAATGGCTGTTCGAGGTGTTATATTCAACAAACTAGTGACAATTTGTTGTATTTACATATCTTCGCATCACCAACTCAATAAACACGAATTCCAGTCTCTAATTGATGAACTTCCAGAACCGTATCTTCTTCTTGGAGATTTCAATGCGCATAACAGTTTATGGGCAGACTCGCGGTGCGATGCACGAGGTCGTCTAATCGAGCAATTCCTTTTCTCTTCTGGCGCATGTCTCTTGAATCAGAAAACACCAACATATTACAATATCACTAACTACACTTACTCGTAAATAGACCTTAGCATCTCATCTCCATCGCTTTTTGCGCTCCTCAAATGGGAAGTCATCAATAATCCATATAGAAGTGATCATTTCCCTATAGTTCTCAGCACCACAGTTGCAAATGATAGTCCTCCACAGGCTCCCAAGTGGCTCACCCAAAAAAGCTGATTGGGAAAAAGTACCAAAAAGTTACTCGTTTAACCTGGAATGAGATGAGCACATTAAGCATAGAGGCTGCTGTGGATTACTTCACTGCTTTTTTGGTTGACGCTGCAACCAAGTGTATTCCACAAACAAGCGGGCTCCCAGGCAAGCGACGTGTTCCATGGTGGAACGAAGAGTGTCGTAACGCACGGAAAAAACAAAACAAGGCATGGAAGTTGCTTCGAAACTCCCCGACGTCTGAGAATCTTATAAAATTTGAGAACATTAAGTCCCAAGGCAGGAGGACGCGCCAACAAGCTAGAAGAAAAAGTTGGCATACGTCTTTATCGGGCATCACCTCATATACACAAGCGGGTAAAGTATGGAACAGGGTGAAAAGAGTAGAAGGAAAACAAGCATATCCAATCCCTCTAGTAAACGCACAAAGCGACAGCTTGGAAGACCAGGCAAACTACCTGGGCGCACACTTCGAGCAGGTTTCGAGCTCTTCACACTACTCTTCAGAGTTCCAACGCTACAAGGCAAGAGTGGAAAAACGCAAACTAGACACGAAATGTACTAAATATGAGGCATATAATCAGCCATTCTGCTTGGCTGAGTTACAGGCATCTCTTAATTGCTGCAGCGATTCCGCCCCGGAATCTGACCGTGTAATGTATGAAATGTTGAAAAACCTTCCTCTAGAAACTCCAAAAACATTACTTTCCTTGTACAATGCCATCTGGTTTTCTGGCGTCATCCCTCCCTCTTGGAAAGAGGCCATCGTCATCCCCATAATTAAACAGAGTAAGCATCCATCCTCTGTTACAAGTTACAGGACCATCGCGTTAACCAGTTGCCTTTGTAAACTCATTGAAAAGATGATAAATTGCTGACTTATACACTTCCTTGAAACAAGCAGTCTACTTGACCCGTACCAGGGCAGTTTTCGAGAAGGTAGGTCCACCATTGACCATCTGGTACGTATTGAAGCACAGATCCGAGACCCTTTTATCCTCAAATGATTCTTTCTCTCTGTCTTCCTAGATAAAGAAAAGGCTTATGACACAACATGGCGCTTTGGTATACTTCGAGACCTCTCAGATTTAGGTATACGGCGTAGAATGCTGAGTACAATTGAAAGTTATCTCTCCAATCGGAAGTTCCGTGTTCGAGTAGGCACAGTCTTGTCCCGAACATTTGTTCAGGAGACAGGAGTGCCCCAGGATGGTGTACTGGGCTGTACTCTATTTATTATCAAAATGAATTCATTGCGCCTTTCCATTCCTAGGAGTATGTTTTACTGCACCTATGTAGACGATGTCCACTTTGGCTTTAAGTCTTGTAACCTGGCAATGTGTGAGCGGTAGGTGCAGCTAAGTTTGAACAGGATTTTAAAATGGTCAGATTAAAATGGGTTCCGGCTGAATCCACAAAAAAGCACATGGGTCTTATTCTTTAGAAAAAGAGGCATTCATTCCGAACGTCACATTTAACTACATGGCCAGCGTCTTTCATTAAATACTGAACACAAATTGTTAGGCCTAATCTTTGACACCAAGATAACCATTATACCACACAGGAAGTATCTAAAAAACAAGTGCTTAAAAACGATAACATTATAAAGGTCTTATCACGCTCTACCTGGGGTAGTGACAAAAAGTGCTCGATCAATTTGTATAGAAGCCTCATACGGACACGCCTAGATTTTGGAGCCATAACCTATCAGTCTGCGACAACAATGACCTTAAAGATAGTCGACCCTGTTCATCACCTAGGCATTCGTCTTTCCACGGGTGCTTTTTGCACAAGCCCTTTGGAAAGCTTGTACGTTGACTCGAACGAATGGTTTCTCCATTTGCAACGATCCTACCAATCTTTTGTCTACTTCCACAAGGTGATTGCCAACAAAGAACTACACTCCACCATCAATAACACCTCCAGTTCTGTCCTGTTTAACAACCGCCCTGCCATAAGACAGCCCTGCGTATTTCGTGTAAGGACTCTAGCCGAAGAGACGGGCGTGCCGCTTCTTGAACACGGTTTGGCTGCTCCTGCTCTATATGTCTCGCCTTGGCAGTGGCAGCTGATAGACTGCGATATGTCTTTTATACAAGTCACCAAGCACGTGCCAAATGCACATATTAATACACATTTCCTAGAACTGCAACAAAAATACTCATGCCCAGAATTCTATACTGATGCCTCAAAAACCCGCCTTTCTATCTCCTATGCAGCAGTCGGTTCATCTTTTTTAGATGCCGGTATTCTGCACCCGAACACCAGAATTTTCACAGCAAAGGCTTATGCTATACTGGTAGCTGTTAAACACATAAAACAACTAAAATTACTAAGTGCAGTAATCTATACTGATTCCCTGAGCTTTGTGAAAGCCCTTAAAACACTCAAAAAGCAAACAAACCCCATTCTTATCTCCCTTTACTCAATCCTGTGCACAGTGTACGCACTCAATACACATGTCATAGTCTGCTGGGTGCTAGGGCACTGTGAGATACAAGGAAATGTTTTGGCGCACCACTTAGCTGCAACCGCCAAAGAAACAGCTGCCAGTATGTCAATAGTGATTCCTGCACTTGACTTGAAGCCTTTTCTGAAACAAAAGCTCAAGGCCTATTGGCAGAGCACGTAGGACAGACACACAGACAATAAACTCCATGCTATGAAGCCGCAACTAGGTAATTGGCCGCCACTATCAAAATCACGACACACAGAAGTAACACTAACAAGGATTAGAACAGGACATACACACTCTGCACATTCTTATCTTCTGTCCATCGGCAATCCATCATTGTGTTAGAGATGTGGAGAACCACTTACGATTCTCCACATTCTCGTCCAATGAAATGAGCTGGATGCTCTAAGAAAAAAGCACTTTTTACTGCCCTACCGACAGCAGCTCCCACTACACCCTGAGATGCTCATTGGTAGGGATCCGCTTTCTAAACTGCAATCACTTTTCGCGTTTTTAACAGATGTTCATAGCTTTCACCCCATATTTCTAGGTGATCTGTAGCATGACCTCTGTACCGTGGTCGTGGCTGCGGTGACTACATCTCCATCATGGTTTTATTATCATGACATTTCGCCAACCACTTTACTGCACATATCTCACGCCGTTGTCATGATTTTATTACTTAGGCCCCTTTACAGCCACGCATCATATCATTGTTCATATCTCTAGTCTATTGAAATGGCGCTCTTTGGCCATCAATTGGCATTGCAAGCAAACATTTTTTTGCTTGCTGGTCTGATTCCTTGCTTATGTTTTTAACTTTCCCCATTATGCATTAAGTGAAATTTGATTTAAACTTATTGCAATGACACGCACTTCATGCTCTAAGCCTCGATAGGACGGTGTTAGGGTGCAGAGCCAATCTCACGGACTTTTCACGTTTGTCAGAAGACAGTGTATAACATTCTGACAGCCGCTAGGTCATCGTCCTTGACCATGCCCCTACGTTAGTACAACCACCGCAGCAACATGCTTGAAATTCAAAATTATGCTGTATGATTACACACTCTATTAATATTGTCGTCACATATAGTAGAAAATAAAATGAATTTAAAGCAAGGGTAGCTTCCTAGCTTTGTTGGTGCAACATGTTCATAAAGTTAAGCGCAGCACTGAATTGACGAGGACAGGACAGGAAGAGGACACGCGAGCGCTGAATTTCAAGAATGATTTATTTGAAGCCGAATCACTGAATATATACACGAAAAGGTGGACACTCCTGTGTTCTTCCCGTTCCATCCTCGTCAATTCAGTGCCACGCTTAACTTTATAAATCCAAAGATAGCATAACTGAAATTTGTATTAAACTGAAAAATACTAACTGAAAAATGTATTAAAACGGCTCCTCAACAATTTTTCTGAACATACAATTTAAGCGTATGCTGCTACAAGTAGCACAGAACTCAGCGGATTTTATAAAAGAATGTTTCTTTTTTTGTGTGTCCAGTATAACATCACAGACATGTGCAATAGTCCATAAGTTCAAGAGTCTTGCTTGTTAAGCAAGTTTGTAACAAACTTAAACTCGAAGAAAGTCAATAAAACATCAAAGAAGGAACAAAACTGAGTGGCAAAAGCAGATACAGCCTTTTTCGACATTTTAGTGGCTTTCTTTGAGTTTAGTTCATAGGTTCCATCTGATGGGTTACTGTTTAAGACCGGGAGTTACCACCATGCACGTAGTTAAGCAGGCATGCTCATCCCTTCCATTTAGGAGCAAAAAGATGCATGGAAGTAACGATTTTTAACATGTCACACACACCATGTCACCATCATTTTATTGTTCTCGAGCACCCCTGCCTGTGCCAGTCGTGAAGGGCTGTTACAAACTGTAGGACACTCTGCTCCTATTATAATGCCTGAATTACGACACTGCTGAAGAAAATAAAAATTATTTTCATTTTCGAGCTTTGAATAGCAACCTGTCATTGATTCCAGTGTTGAATTATCTGAAATGTGACTTTAAAGCATACCTTTAGGAAGTCGCGAATTCTTAATATGCCACAGAAACAAGGACCTTGCGACAAAAACACATTTTTCAGAACAACGTAACACGCCGTGTGTTACCTCTTGGGTGCGTACACACCAAATAAACAAAATTATTGAAGATAGAATTTTCGTCACCTAGGCGTAAAAGAATGACGAAGTAAAAGCTGCTGTACGAGCTCCACACTCTCCACCATCTGCTTACAAAACAATTGGTTATAGCATAAAATACCTTACTCGAGACGGTTGCTAGATTTTTTATGCTGAAAGCGGACGTTCTTCACTGAATACTTGACAGCCGGCATCAAAGATGGCACACATTTTGTGACTTGCTTGCTCAAAGTTTTGTGGTATGTCACGAATTCGTGACACTGGGCAGTGAAGGGATTAAAAAAACACGCACCAATAAGTGACATGAGCATGCCTATGTCATCGTGTTCCTGTCTCTCTCTTGTGTTTCTTTTTTTAATATTGGCAGAATGTAATACAGTAAGCAATACCAACTAAGCCAAGAAGGAATTCTTCTCAAAGGCATTATAAAGGCAGTGCAAAAGAATAATAATAATAAATTGCTTAGAAGAGACCTAGTTGTGCAGCACTTTCCCAAGAAGAATTATTCTGTTGAGGAGGAGCGGAAAAGGCAAACATTGTTGTACTTTCCCACATTATTTGATTATTTTTTTTATTTCTGCAGAAATTTGATGGAGTGCAGTTATTTGAAATATTTAAAGTTGAATTCATGCAAAACTTGAAGCTGATCTACGAGTCTCAGCAGAGTTTTATGTATTCAATTATGGAAAAACACTCATGAATTCAAGCTTGCAAGTCCATGGAATGGCTACCTTTAAAAAAAGTTCTTCACCTGTGTGCATTATCCTCTTTAACAAACTTGTGCCAAAGGCCATATTCAGTACCTCATTCATCCTGTACATTGCCAGTCACTCTAACAATGCCTAATGTAGTAAGAGCTATTTAGCAATACACTATACACTGCGACCACAGTGCCGCACTATCAACACTCATTCGTAGGTTATCATTCATGTATCCAGTTATAAAGAAAATCTGTCACACAGTTCATTTGCTGTCTATCAAAGTGCCAGCACCGTTTTTTTTTTTTTTTTTTTGCCAAACAGTTTGGACGTCAGTTCTTGGATTCCTTCCTGCGTAATGGCATGCCTCTGCTAGACTCTCTTTTCAAGTCCCACACTGCTGAAGTACAGGCTCTTCTAAAAAATCTACAGCAAAGCACACGGTACCTCCAGCACATCTGCAGTCACTCCAAGGTGAGCACATGTTGCATTGCCAAGCTTGTGGACATAGTATTTATGCAATATATGGAAATGGGGTTTGCATATTTTGTTGCTGTGATGTATATGCCGGGCTACCAAATTCAGTGTGTTGTTCACTGGCGGTGATATTCTCGAAATGATTGCTTTTAGCATTCATGAACAATAGCTTTTTCATAGATGTGCAGAGACAGTGTCCTTAGCACTTTGCATGGAATGCTGCTAGCCGCAGGTTAGGCATTCAGTGCAGAGTCGTGCTAAGCGGTATGCTCACATTATTGTTGCTGTTTGGAGACTAATTAAGGAGGATAGTTTGCTGGTCAAGTTAATAATACACCTTGAATAAAGCAGCAATAAATAACAGATGAATGCAAAAAGCACAGCAATGTTTCTGATGTATCCTTACCTTAATTTTTGTTATTTAGAGCTGCATTCTCCATCATGAAAGTACAGTGTGCCTGAGGATTTATGTTCTGTCACGAACTGTTTGCCACCGCTAAACAAGCGCTGCCAGTCTACGCTGCGCGCGCCTTCTATCTTATCTCCCTCTTCCCCTTCCCTTACCTTTCGTTCTTATAAAAACCCAAGCCGGACAATAAACGCTCGCTTTTTGCCCTGGCCACTCTGTTCGTGCATTTCGGGGCGCGGCCCAGCCGCGGGGCCGATTATAACAGTGGCGACGAGTATTTCAACAAAGAACGAGACCCAGCTGCTTCCTGAAGGCGGGCAAGCAGCCACCCCATCCACAGGCATGAGTCACCGCGTCCCGGAATTCAACGACGACACAGATAAGTGGCAAGCGTACCTCGTGAAGGTTGAGGCATATTTTGAAGCAAACGAAGTCACTGACGATGCCAGGAAAAGAGCCCTGTTGGTAGCCGCACTTGGGTCGCGAACGATTGATGTGCTATGCGGTAGAGTGTCACCGCCGAAGCCAAACGCACTCGGCTACGATGCGGTAGTGAAAGTTCTAAGCGAGTATTATGACCCACAACCAAACGAAATTTCAGAAAGCTTCAAGTTTTTCCAACGAAACCAGCAGGAAGGAGAGTCTGTTCACGCATTCATTGTGGAAATACGGCGCCTAGCGCATAACTGCAACTTCTCGTCCATGCTGGATAGGATGTTAAGGGACCGTATCGTGTGCGGGGTACGTTCAAGAAATTTGCAAAAGCAGCTGCTCGCGAAACCTGAGTTGACATTACAAGAAGCAGAGGCACTTGCGTTGGCGGCAGAAAAGGCAGAGTTAGATGCGGAGAACATAAATCGAGAAACGCCCCCGGTAACAGTGTCGGCAATGAAGGAGCAACGCTGGGTGCCGCGAGGCCAGAAGAAAAACGAAGACGGAAAGCCATGCGAGTGCTGCGGAAAGCGTAATCATAAGCGTGCGACCTGTTCAATGCGTGGGAGGCACTGTTACAAATGTGGAAAACAAGGGCACTTGGCACGCATGTGCCAAAGGATCGACAACGCGTTGAATGTAACAGCCCAAGCCAACGACAGTGATAGCAGCGCGTCGCAACTTTGGTCCGTAACTTCGAAGAATTCATTGGTGCCACCGATTCAGGAAACGTTCACGTGGAACGGCGTAAAGCTGAAGATGGACGTTGATACCGGCTCGCCCGTATGCGTCATTCCTAGAGCAACCTACAAAGCCCACCGTCATCAATGACCGAAGTTGCAGGAGCCGAAGATAAAGCTGGCGTGCTATTTGGGGAAGCTACCCGTACTCGGAGTACTGTCAATGCGTGTATGCCACAAATCGGCGGAGGTTGATTGCAACCTAATCGTCTTGGACTGCGAAGGTCCTCTCCTGTGCGGTCGTGATTTGCTGCAGAAACTACAAGAGCAGGGCGCAGCAGTACTCCACGTAGCTGCGCCACCACTCGGGTTGAGCCCGGAGTCTCCGCCCGCGCCTGCTGTGTTGGACCGCTACTCCAACCTGTGCACGGAGGGCGTAGGACTCATGAAAGGCCCACCGGTGCGCCTTCACATCAAGCCTGGAGTGACGCCAAAGTTCTGCTGTGTTGGACCGCTACTCCAACCTGTGCACGGAGGGCGTAGGACTCATGAAAGGCCCACCGGTGCGCCTTCACATCAAGCCTGGAGTGACGCCAAAGTTCTTCAAGGCAAGAAAGGTACCCTACGCTCTGTTGGATAAAGTTTCATAGGCATTAGATCGACTCGTGGCAGTTGGCATTATATCACTAGTGACGCACTCGGAATGGGCTGCGCCCATTGTTCCAGTCTTAAAGAAAGACGGCACAGTTCGCATTTGCGGTGACTTCAAGGTTACTTTGAACTTAGTATGCGAGCTGGAACAATACCCGCTGCCTCTTATCGAGGATATTTTTGCGCAATTAGGTGGGGGGGGGGGCGGTTCAGCATTCTGGATTTGCGCGACGCCTACAACCAGATCCCGCTAGACGAAGAGTCTCGCAAATTGGCCGTGATAAACACCCACAAGGGCCTCTTTTGCTTCAACCGCCTCCCGTTTGGGATTGCTTCGGCACCGGCGATATTTCAAAGGCGGATTGAATCAATCCTACAGGGCTTGCCTGGGGTGCAAGCGTACCTAGATGACGTGTTGATAGCGGAAGAGGGTGACAGCCAAAACCGCAATCTGATGGCTGTGCTCGAGCGCTTCCGTGAACATGGCATTAAGCTTCGTGTGGATAAGTGCCGCGTTAGCGAGCCCTCTGTTACATATCTAGGTCACCGTATTGACGCAAACGGACTGCATCCCATGGAAAAGAACGTGGATGCTATCAGGCTAGCCCCCTCTCCACAGAACGTCTGCGAGCTACGCTCATTTCTGGGCATGGTAACCTTTTATAACAAGTTTATGCCCGACTTGTCTATCATTCTAGCACCGTTGTACAAACTGCTGAAAAAGGGCGCTAAGTGGACGTGGAGCACCAAAGAAAAGAAAGCCTTTGTCCAGGTGAAAAATGCGTTGTGCGCGGCAGCCATACTCACTCATTTTGACCCGAACCGTGAGCTCTTCTTGGAGTGTGATGCGTCCCCATACGGAGTTGGTGCTGCACTTTTTCATCACACCGAAGGCGAGAAGCGACCCGTAGGCTTTCGATCCAGAACGCTGACAACTGCCGAAAGAAAGTACTCTCAGATCGAGCGCGAGGCGTTAGCCTTGATATTTGGTGTTACTAGGTTTAGGGACTACCTGTTGGGGCGAGAGTTCACTCTGGTTACGGATCACCAGCCGTTGCTGGGCCTGTTAAGGCACGACCGTCAGACCCCCGTCATGGCGGCAGCCAGAATACAAAGATGGGCGCTACTACTTGGTGCATACAAGTATAAACTGCAGTACAAGCCGGGAAAATTTATGCATAACGCGGATGCATTAAGCCGGTTACCCCAATCTCTTGAACAGGAGCTGCAGGACGACGAGGATGCGGCCGAGTACGTCCTCGTCGTGGACCAGTGGGACGAGCCGGCGGTGCCCATGAAAGAGCTTCAAGCCCTCACCCAGTCAGACGGCGTACTGTCGAGTGTGTGCAGATACGTCATCCAAGGTTGGCCACAACGCACTGCGGAGGAAGGCACAGAGATGCGGGAGTATCACAAAAGGCGGAACGAGCTTTCCGTGCAGCATAACTTGCTTCACTGGGGTCATCGTGTTGTGGTTCCGGCGGAAGCCAGGAAGAAGCTACTGAAGTTATTACATGGAGCTCATCAAGGAGTTTCTGCAATGAAGGCAGTTGCACGGTCAAAATTTTGGTGGCCGGGCTTGGACCACGATATTGAGCGCTTAGCCGCTGTGTGTCAGCACTGCGTACAGGCGTTGCCCATGCCACCCGCGCAAGCACCCATTCGCTGGCCAGAGACGCAGGAAAGATGGTCGCGATTGCATGTCGACTTCGCGGGTCCGATCCAAAACAAGATGCTTCTTGTCGTCGTGGACTCTCACAGTAAATGGATTGAGGCCATTCTCCTGGCTCACGCGACCTCGCGCAACACAGTCGATGCCCTGCGAACGCTGTTCAGTAGATTCGGTCTGCCACACACAGTAGTGTCTGATAATGGCACGCCATTCACCGGATGGAAGTTCAAGGAGTTCTTGCAACAGAACGGGGTAGTTCACGTGCGGGCACCCCCCTACCATCCACAGAGTAATGGACTCGCCGAACGTGCGGTGCGAACCATCAAAGACGGACTAAAGAAGTGTGGGGACGCAGACTTGTCAAGGGCGCTGGCTAGAACACTGTGCCGCTATAGAAACACGCCGCTTCCGTCCGGGCGCTCACCATCAGAAATGTTGTTGGGTTACCAGCTCCGCACCCGATTAGACGTGTGTTTTCCTCCCAGGAGCCGAGCAACAGGGGATGTCCACTCTGCGGACAGCGCCGAGTGGAACTTCGCACCGGGAGATCCTGTGTACCTTCGCAATTACGGCCGTGGTGACAAGTGGACACCTGGGAAGGTCCGGTCAACCTCTGGTGCACGCATCGTGTCTGTCGACACGGAGAACGGGCTTGTTCACCGGCACATGGACCAGCTCAGGCGGAGAAGCATCGAAGAACCGCCGAGTCCAGAGGCTCTCTCTAGCCCCCAGATAAGCCCGGACCCTCCAGTACAAGACTGCGAAGCTCCAACGGCTACTGGCCCCGGTCTTCCGGGCCACCCGCCCCCAGAGCCAAGACGTTCCACACGTATCAAGAAGCCAGTGGAGCGTTATGGATTCTAAGGAAGAAGGAATGCCACGAACTGTTAGCCACCGCTAAACAAGCGCTGCCAGTCTACGCTGCGCGCGCCTTCTATCTATCTCCCTCTTCCCCTTCCCTTACCTTTCGTTCTTATAAAAACCCAAGCCGGACAATAAACGCTCGCTTTTTGCCCTGGCCACTCTGGTCGTGCATTTCGGGGCGCGGCCCAGCCGCGGGGCCGGTTATAACATGTTCATTATGCTTTCACTTTGTTGATACCACACTAGGAAGAACATGTACGTGAACAGTGATAAACTGCTAGTGCAAAGGCTCTTGCCACAATGTACTGGCAGGAAAAGAGACGTGCATAGTTCTTTATTGATCAATCTGTCACACTAAGTCTAAACGATCATTTTGTTTTGGAAATAGGTGAAGTGATGCTGTAAGTAATTTGTGATAGCGTGCTCCTACATATATATGATTTAAAAGAAAATGACCAATCTGTATGCAGTTACGTTAGCGCTTCGTGCATAGCTTATGAGCCAGCGTCCAAGCTAGGCTCGGCTGTTCTGGTCAAACATTTATTGTCGCGCATGTGTGTCATGTTTCTCTCCCCCCCCAGTGATCATGGTCTTTCTTAATAAAAGATAGCAAAATGTGCCCTGGGGGCCGTTCTTTTGTACGTTGTTCTCACGGCGTCTTCCTCCCCCGACATGAAACCACCCTCGGCCAAGCGTAATAATGCCTCCTGCTTGCAGCTGGTGAAAGACGTGGCACTGACAGGGCAGGTGCCTGCAGTACGCAAGACGCTGGAAGTCTTCGTCTTTCGTGTCAAGGCTATGCTCACTGTGAACCACTGCCGGGAAGCCTTCTGGGTGGGGAACCTCAAGAATCGGGACCTGAAGGTAATGTGTTGCGGTTATTAAGGCTAAATTGGTTTGCTTGTGTCAAAAATAAATGCTGTTGGGATGAATTTTACTTCTTATAACATTTGGGCATGCCGATAGACATTTATTGTTAGAAGAACTGTGAAAATAATCATAGGCACAGAAGTAATATAATACAGGGTTTTCTGCAAAGATATGTTTTCTTTGCAGCATATTTAACATGTAAACAGGCAAATTGGCTCATTAGTGAAACAGCTTTGGCAGAATTGCACTGAGAGCACTACTTTGTGGCATTTTGCTTATAGAAACTGAAATTTTACCTAAGAACTGTGCCAAACCTGTGCCAAAGAAGCAGAGGAACTGCTTCCCTGCAAAACCGAGACCAAAATCTAAAGCACTACTATATCATCAGGCAGGTGAATTGACAAGTCATAGTTTCATGCATAGCTGATTCCTCCTATCCTCTAAAGGCTGTTCTTTTGTTTCATATACCTGGCTGAAGTTCCAGTGTTCTGCCTCTTTGAAGCCTTGTCTGTGCCATTTATAGTGTAGTTCTGTATTCTTCATGCTGCTGTGATGAGTAGCAGGAGTTCTGCTTGTGTTGCTTTAGAGAAACCTTGTAATATGTCTGTTTAACCACTGGGGGAAAGAGAAAAGAAATAAAAAAGTGACGCAAAAGGACAGAGAAATTAGCATATGTTAGCTAATAATTTGCTATTAGTAGAGAACTTCCTTGCAGTTCTGCATCACTACATACGCAGTACTATAGCACTATACAGTTGTCCCATTCATTGCTTCAGTCTGTAAGACTGTATCAAGGGGTTGGCAAATAGTAACCAAGTTTACTACATTGACTTAAACATTCATATGGCATATATTCTTAATTGGCACTACTGTTTTCACATGATATCTTCTTGTATTCCATAGTTTCAATAATGCTGCTGTTGCTCACTTCTCATAGTGCAGTTTGAAGTTGATGTGCAAAAAGGCACACATTCTGGGAAGGTGGAAGTTTGCTGTGATGAGAGGTCACCAAACAAGGAAGGATACTCCAGTGAGCATTTCGATGAGAGGGCTAGTCTTCATCAGGTCAGCCAACTTGTTCAACATTGCTGCCTTAAAGGGGCCCTGAACCGCTTTTTAAAGTAACCATAGAATGAATTCACTAAAAGCTCTTATTGCCTCATGAATCCAATGCCGCAAAAGTTTAGGAATCCATCTAGTACCAGTGGAGCTACAAAGATTCGTTGCACACTGCAATCGCATTGTCTTTTCTCTCGCCCCGATGGAAGCGCTGGAAGCTAATCAGGGCGGGACGGCATAAGCAAAGAAAATATGCCACGCCCACCTTGTTACCTTCCGCATTTTTTTCTTTTTTTCCCTTCAAATACGCAACTTTATAAGTGCGATCGCGCACACCTGTTAGACAAGTCGTGGTGATTCTTTTACCAACTGAACATGCCATGTTCAAATCAGCTAATAGATGATAGATAACCTTCTACGAGTGATTTTTGAGCTTCCTCTGTCATTTGTTGAGGGAAGAGAAAACAATTTTCAGCTGATTTTGACAATTTATTGTGAATTGCTGGCCACGTGCTGTGCTGTAATATTTGGCTCGTGTGTTCCCGGGAGCTTCTACTACCAATCAACAGCATTTTTTGACCATGCTCAAAAAGTGTTGCAGGGTCCCTTTGAAGAAAACAAGTCTCTCCACTGAAACGTTAGATGTTGAGTTGCTTTTATATGGGTTCACATTTGCACTGGACACAACTGATCTTTTTGCACCTGAAATGCATGTCTAATGAAAAATGATTTCATACGGTTTCAAGTTTGTAGACCTTAAGAAAATAGCTTTTAAATATGTCTAATTTTGCGGCAGTTTAAAATGAGTTACGTATTCCCCCTTTTTTTCCTCCAAAAGTAATGCAAGCAGCGTTTTCAAACTTGACACGTTTTAAGGATATAGTGTGTTCATTAGGTACATAAATTATTGCTGCCATAGGGCAAATGTAAATTTTTATATATTGCCTCAAAGTTCTCATGTTGGCAAAAGTGTACTCTACTGAAATTAGAATAATAAAAAAACCCCATCTTCGATTTTTCTTAAAATCTTGTAAATAGACAACCGAAGGCCATCATACAAAAATATAGAAAAACATGTTGTATTATTTTGTTTTTAGCGACAATATTCGTGGTACAAATCAGAGCTTTTTGAGAATGCACTGATAAGTTGAGAAATCTAGAAATCGGAACGGAAAAGCGACAATAAGCTTCAAACGTGAGTAAACGTCACCGCATTTGGTGAAGAAAGGCTGTTTTAGCAGATAGGAGTAACTACTTTGAACACGATATTCTACAGTATCTGAATTCACTCTTATACGTAGAGCACTGAGACTTCTAATATGTGGTGCCTCTCCATTACTGACACACAGATGGAGCTGCTGTGACGGCCATGTGTTTGCAACACGTTGGGCAATGCTGAATGAGCTCATAAACGATTCATAACAAATTTTTATCATTTGGGGCATGAAGACTGCTGCATTAGACTGAAGAACACGCTTTAGAGCAAGTTGTCATCCGTCGTCTGCTCCCAGGTGGTCGAAATTTCCGGAGCCCTCCACTACGGCGTCTCTCATAATCAAATGGTGGTTTTGGGACGTTAAACCCCACATATCAATCAATCAAATCCGTCGTCTGCTCTACAGATGAATTGCTGTGCGCCGCATCTCGGGGGCAATGCTTTAGATCATATGGTTCAAAGTAGGGACAAAGATTATGCCTCCCGTAATTTTATCGACAAAAACATTGTGAAATTCATTTTAACGTACTATACTTCAGTTTTGCATTCGCACTGCAGATACTTGCACACGCTGTTTTACGTCTGCTGTCATTAAAGGTGAGAGACATAGGAACAGACAACAGATAGATCACTTTCATGCTGCTGGTTTCACGCATAGTTGCATTGCCAGTAATTTGAGCCTCAAGGAGCGTGGCGATGGCTGACCACTTTAGCCGGGATAGAGTTTTATGTTCAGATTACCTCATGTTGCATAAAAAGAAAATACTTTATCAAAGAAACTTCCGCAAGGTTGCCCTCCAGTAGCGTTTGCCGAAAGCTGCCCACCATGCACAAAACAACGACCACGTCTGCCAGAACTGCTTCAGACGCCTCAGAGATATGCTGTCTTCGTCTAATGGCTTCTCAGCTGAAACAGCTAAAGAGTTTTTGCCGGAAGAAGAAAAAGGCAGAAGTCAAGAGCGGTGCGTAAACACGCTTGAAGCATTGTCACATATGCGACTGGAGAAGCTGCATGCGCAAAATAGCAAAGTTCATGCAGAGCCAAGACAACTTAGCAGCAATTCTACAGTAACCGTGAAATGCCACCGTAACGTGTGTAACCGCCACTTTCAACCATCAGATCTAAAATGCAGTGTGTGTGCCCAGTGGTTCAAGAACTTCAAGCAAGCCTATAAAGCGTGTTCTTCGTATCAAGAGCGCATGCGTTTGTTGACACTGTTGCCGAGCGATATAGAGCGCCGAAAACTCCAAGCGCTTATACCAAACTTGTCAGCTTACATGATATACAGATCCCGACGCTGGCTCGCAAAACACGGGATATGGTTAGCTCCAAATGGGGTAAAAAGGACACGGCTGAACCCAATGGAAGTCCAGGCAGCTATGGCTTACAACTCCAAAGATGAGTATAGCTGCTCTCGGCAGAGTCCCAACAAAAAAGATGTAGTATCTGTTATCATTGACGGAAAAAAGGAGCTTGTTTCGAAAAGATTTATGACCTATTCGGCGCGAGAGGCTTACCGTCTCTTTAGAGAAGCTAATGCGAACACGTCTATTGGGCTCTCAAAGTTTTATTCACTGAGGCCGAAGTGGGTTCTTCTTCCACCACACCAAGAAGTGTGCCTTTGTATATACTGTGCTAATGCCACGGAGTGTGTTTCTGCCCTACAAGACGTCACCGATGGTGCCTACACGGCGGACTTCTTGAAAGAACTATGTCTTTGCAGCTCTCCTACAAGTGATTGTTTTTTAGGCCATTGTGACTATTGTGCTAAGGAGGACGCTCTGACAGCCACATGTTTAGGAATCCCTGAAGATATTTAAGTAGCCTATGCAGTATGGGAAAATGGCGATCTAGTAAAAAAAACAGCCCAGGCAAGTGCTTTTCTGCGAGAGCTAAGTCTATGTTTCGTGAAGTGGATTACCCATGATGACATAAGATACATTCAAGAATCAGCAATATGCCAGGCGAAAGAGAACCAAGAAAAAGAATCTTGCATTTTTCATTTTGATTTCGCCGAAAATTCGACAGCCATTTTACCGAATGAGGTACAGTCGTATCACTGGCACAAAAGACAGGTGTCTATATTCACGTGTGTCATCACAAGGAAGCAATCAATTCAAAGTTTTGCCGTCATCAGTGATGACACATGCCATGATGCTGCACATGCCTGTTTTGCTCTACAAATAATCCACAACTATATGAAGGAACAACTTAAACCTGACACACATGTTACTTATGTTTCTGATGGTGCATGCAATCACTTCAAAAACAAGTACCAGTTGTTCGAGTTATGTCAGAAAGATCATATATCAACAAAGTGGATTTTTAGGCCACAGGACATGGCAAGAACTCTTGTGACAGCGTTAGTGGCCTACTAAAGCATCAGGCCACGCTCTACAACCTCAGAGCGGCAAGCTCAGCTGTGATTATGTCAGCATCTCTAATGGTGGCGCAAATGAGCGCGAAGCTCAAGAATGTCAAGCTGCTGTGTGCAAATGCAGACGAGCTAGAAACATTCTGTCAGTTTAAGGAGAGCCAGTGGAAATCATTGCCACGTGTTCCAGGCATACGTTCTTGGCATGTTTGGCTAAGCACATCTGAGGGCACTGATTGTGGTCGTGTTTTGTTAGCGTCACGTACTGCTAAATGTGACCTGCAAAAGATGCAGCCATTTTGAGTGCATCTCTTGTTTCACGTAGTCACCAGCAAAATACCAGTGAGGGTACTTCAAGCGCATATGCTTTTTCTAGCGAGACCCAACACTTGCGTTGGAACGTTCTCATGTTTGAGTTTATCTGCAAATATAGACAGATGTTTTGCAACTGAGTTACAGTGCGGAAGATTTTCTCCATTAGGGCTATATCAGGAGCATAAATGCACCTTCATGGGTACGTATTTGTCACAGTGCTAAAACAGCCTTTCTTCACCAAATTCGCTCACGTTTACTCGCGTTTGAAGGTTATTGCACTTTTCCGTTCCGATTTCTAGATTTCTCAACTTATCAGCGCATTCTCGAAAAGCTCTGATTTGTACCACGAATATTGTCGCTAAAAACAATTTAATGCAACATGTTTTTTTATATTACTCTACGATGGCCTTCGGTTGTCTATTTACGAGATTTTAAGAAAAATCGAAGATAGGGTTTTTTTATTATTCAAATTTCAGTGGAGTACACTTTTGCCAACATGAGAACTTTGAGGCAATATATAAAAATTTACATTTGCCCTACGGCAGCAATAATTTATGTACCTAATGAACACACTATATCCTTAAAACGTGTCAAGTTTGAAAACGCTGCTTGCATTACTTTCGGAGAAAAAAAAGGGGGAATACGTAACTTACTTTAAACTGTCGCAAAATTAGACATTTTTAAAAGCTATTTTCTTAAGGTCTACAAACTTGAAACCGTATGAACTCATTCTTCATTAGACATGCATTTCAGGTAAAAAATATCTTCCTTGAAACAAAAATATTTGTCTTTTTATAGCATCTGCAATTTTTGAAAATGACAGGTGACGAAATTGGTGCCTCCGTGTCGGTGAAGTTTGATTTTTTTTTTTCTCGTAAGTTAGGCCGTTAATACTAAAACGAAGTTGATTTTCGGGCTACCTGGTGAGAGGTGCACGAAATACAAAATACTCAATGATATCTAAAATATCAACTTTTAGACCCGTGTCGATCTCCCGTGGAATCACCCAGTTTGAAGTTGATCTGCAAAAAGGCACACATTCTGGGAAGGTGGAAGTTTGCTGTGATGAGAGGTCACCGAACAAGGAAGGATACTCCAGTGAGCATTTCAATGAGAGGGCTAGTCTTCATCAGGTCAGCCAACCTGTTCAACATTGCTGCCTTAAAGGGGCCCTGAACCGCTTTTAATGTAATCATGGAATGAACTCACTAAAAGCTTTTATTGCCTCATGAATCCAATGCCGCAAAAGTTTAGGAATCCATCTAGTACCAGTGGAGCTACAAAGATTCGTTGCACACTGCAATCGCGTTGTCTTTTCTCTCGCCCCGATGGAACCGCTGGAAGCTAAGCAGGGCGGGATGGCATAAGCAAAGAAAATATGCCACGCCAACCTTGTTACATTCCGCATTTTTTTCTTTTTTTCCCCTTCAAATACGCAACTTTATAAGTGCGATCGCGCACACCTGTTAGACAAGTCGTGGTGATTCCTTTACCAACTGAACATGCCATGTTCAAATCAGCTAATAGCTGATAGATAACCTTCTATAAGTGATTTTTGAGCTTCCTCTGTCATTTGTTGAGGGAAGAGAAAACAGTTTTCAGCTGATTTTGACAATTTATTGTGAATTACAGGCCACGTGCTGTGCTGTAATATTTGGCTCGTGTGTTCCCGGGAGCTTCTACTACCAATCAACAGCATTTTTTGACCATGCTCAAAAAGTGTTGCAGTGTCCCTTTGAAGAAAACAAATCTCTCCACTGAAACGTTAGATGTGGAGTTGCTTTTATATGGGTTCACATTTGCACTGGACGCAACTGATCTTTTTGCAACTGAAAGGAAAGCAGGAAAAAACACTTTAGGGCTGTAACATGAACAACTAATTAACGATGTGTTATTCCAGTGTATTCACGCTCTCAAGTAGTGCAGTGTGGTTAGTAAGTAATGCATAATTCGTTATAGGTATGTGAACCAGTAAATGTGTGATGTCGACAGACCACATTTATTTATTTATTATTTATTTATTTATTTATAATACCCTCAGGGCCAACAAGGCATTAAAGAGGGGAGTGGATAAATACATGAAAAATACAAATAAATTAGTGCAATAAATACAAATAAACAATACAATAATTACAAATAAAACAATACAATAACAGACAGATATTATTAACAATTCTGCAGAATGTATAAAAAAATAGTTATTACTAAATATACAAAAACAGAAGTAATAAGCATAGGTAACAGATTTTCTTGTTTATACAATGTTAGCTAATGTTTCGTGGAAAAGTTTGAAGTCAGTATTGGTTGCGACATTCGGGGGAAGGCGGTTCCAATCATGAGATGTGTGGGGAATAAATGACTGAAAGAAAGACCTAGTGTGACATGATGCGATTCCTACCTTATTGCGATGATCAACACGGTTTGAGATGTACAGAGGCTGGAGTATCAGGTCATTATGAAGTGTAGGGTGATAGAAAATTTTATGAAACAGTGAAAGACGGGCGATTTTTCGTCGGTGAGCCAATGGAATAAGTGATAAACTATTTTTCATTGAAGTCATACTTGCAGTGCGGTTGTAGTTAGAGAGGATGAACCTAGCAGAGTTATTTTGTACTAGTTCAAGAGATGTGATGAGATTAGCATGACTGGGATCCCATATGGCGGATGCATATTCGAGTTTGGGGCGTATGAGAGACTTATAGAGTACTAGTTTCAAGGAAGAGGGTGCTTTGGAGAAGTTACGTCGTAAGTAGCCGAGCATGCGATTAGCATTGTTAATCACGTACTCTACATGAGTTGTCCAACTTAAGTTATTTGTGATGTGCACGCCAAGATATTTATAAGACAGGACGGAATCTAAAGGAACGTTGTTTAGGTGGTAGGTGTTATGATTCGAGTTAGTTCTTGATACGTGCATTATCTTACATTTCTTAATATTAAGTTCCATTAACCAGATATTACACCAATTAGCTATATTATTTAGGTCAGTTTGAAGTGTTTTAGTATCATCAACATTGCTGATTTCGCGGTAAATAACACAGTCATCTGCGAACAGATGTATGTTAGAAGTTATTGAAGAAGTTAGATCATTGATATATACAAGAAATAATAAAGGTCCCAACACTGAACCTTGAGGCACACCGGATTGTACTTCAGTGAGTGGTGAATGATGGTCGTTAGCAGTTACGAATTGGAAACGATTAGAGAGAAAATGTTCTATCCATTTAAGAAGGTTAGTGTCAATATTTAGCTAGCTTAGTTTTAAGAGAAGTAATTTATGGCAAACCTTGTCAAATGCTTTGCTAAAATCCAAAAAAATACTGTCAGCGCAAGATGATCGATCCAGAATTTGATGCAGATTATGAGTAAACGAAGCAAGCTGTGTCTCGCAGGAATACTGTTTTCTAAAACCATGTTGCGCTTTAGCAAAGTATGAGTTAGACTCTAGAAAGTTAGCAAGGTTCGAGAAGATTACATGTTCTAATAATTTGCAGCAATTACTTGTTAGTGATATGGGTCGGTAATTAAGAGGCGAGTTTCTGGACACAGAAACGTGTATGTTTTTCACACTTTGAAGTGTATGAAGTCACATGCACAAGTGTCATTACATGAATGTAATGACACTTGTGCATGTGAGGAAGCGATGTTGAAGGCTGTTGCTGCTGCCTCCTTTACAGTTGATCAGTGGTGTCGCCTCCTTATGGTACTTTCTAGAGTAAATGGTTGTACGCCATGTGCCCACTAACTAAATGCACCTTTAATTTAGAGATATTGAAGGTAAAGGTTTTCAACACACAAACTTCATAATATGGAAGTGTATAAAGTTTGAAGTGTATGAAGTCTCAAACATAATTTGGAAATCTAAGTTTGCACTTTTCTTGCTACCAGTGTGTAATGCTCATGAACTCATTTGTTGCTATTCGCGCTTGTGGGTGACAGTGTTCATATTAGGTAAGCATTGTACAGGAATGGAAAATCCCTTCATGGATGCTTTAGGCCCGAGTGTGCTATACAGGGTTACTCGATGGTGTGCAAAGCAAATATATTGAAAGGGAGGAAATGCCAAGCATTAGGTTTCTGATTATTTTCTGTTCATTTTGAGCTGATGTTTTTGCTTAAGCTGAGTGTGCTACAATAAAAAGACATTGTAACTGCTCTAGGTGACCTTAGTTCTGTAAGCACTTCATGGCTTTCACACTTTGCGTAGGGGGAAGAAATTCTGACGCAGCCATTACCCGAGGACACGGATGAAGAAATGCCACCTGCGGATGATGCTGAAGATGGAACGATTCGGTGAGGTTCAGGGTTCTGAAGTTCTCGAAGCAGGTTGCCTGTATGAGGTTCCTTAGGATTAATTGTTCTGCTCTCTTTGTTTAGGATGCCTCCCACAACAGCGAAGAAAATGAAGTTGACGAGCCCATAGAACCGGAAGTCAGCGAGGAGTTTTAAGAGGCGGTGCCATTTACTTTCCTTCATTTGAATGTTCAGTTTATGAGTTGGAGTTTTATTACACAAGTTACTGTAACATATTTTACTGTGTTCTGTTAAACTGACAAGTCATCTTTCTCAGTTTAAGTTTTGACAAAGCTGTTTGATGGTCAGTGTGGCTATTTTTATTGTACATTAATAAAAGAATTGCTTCATGTGGTAATACATATTTTAATACACTTAAGTCAGATTTTCGGCATAATATTTTGCTAGTGTACTTGTCAGCCGATAGCAAGAAGTTCTTCTGAAATCGTAATCTATCTAGTACAATCTGGAAATATCTCTCCAAACTTCTTCTGGAGAGAAATGATGCAGAAAGCCATCTGCAATATTTTGACTGAGTTAAAAGAGAAAGTGTCAAGCCGTAACCTCATGTTAATTGTACTATTTTTGCTTAAGTCGGCATTGGCTGTTGCTAATGAATGGACCTTGTGATACCATTTAGTAACAATAATTGATGGGGTTTTTTGTTCAAAACCACAATATGATTATGAGAGATGCCGTAGTGGAGGGCTCTGGAAACCTACACCTTCTGGTGTTCTTCAGTGTGCACCTAAATATAAGTACATGGGCCTCTAGCATTTCCCCCTTGCATGAAAAAACGCCAGGCCTGCACGGAACACGCAGCACAGTCACAGCGAAAGCTAGAATAGAAAAGGCCCTTCAGAGCCTTTTCTAAACACTCTTTGGGTAACTACTACAAGCACACTGCTGGGTATCCACTACACCATAAATAATCGTAATTTTTGTGTAGTAGTATTCAGTAGCTGGTATTCACTATGCTATTTTCTATCATTTTTCGAAAAGCGTGGCATCTGCTGCGCACTTGTTAGGAATTTTGTGCAATTTTTTCATGCAGTGGCTGTCGACGAGGAATAAGGCCTGAAATGGGTATGTGCCACAGTTAATAGGTGATCAAGAACAATTGTGTAATGACTTGGAGTATTGTACAACCCACTCGTTAGACTATTCGCAATGTGTGATGCCTGGTTGTTTCTTTGCTGTTCTAAAATCCTTTACTACTCATATTAACACGATACCTTCCCAACGTCAAGCCTGCTTAAGGCAACTTTGCGAACAAGTCCCAAGTACCGCCGTGGCTCAGTAGTAGAATACTGGGCTGACAGGCAGCGGACGCGGTTTGGCGCCCCACTGTGTTCTACGGTGCCGCGCGTGGCCTGTATTATGATCTCAACAGCTTCGCTGTAAAATGTGGCCATCATAGCCGGAAATCGATCCTAACAAATAAAACCCAACAATTAATACTATATAATTTTTCTCCCTCCTGTCCCGTGCCGAAGGTTCCAGAGTAATACAGCCCTCTCCCTATGGAGGGAAAGGGCGCGCGGCTATGGGAGCTGCGCCCCCCCTCTCACCATAGCTAAGGCTACGGGAGCTGCACGCCGCGTCAAAGTTTCGCGCTACAATGCGTACTTATGGTTAGGCCTTTGAGCCCTTTGCAGCGCATGTCGTGTAGACTCGGTGCTGTGCCCTCTTCCAATGGAAAAAGAGGGCGCCACACGCTGCAACACGTGTGTGTAGTTCGGGCTTTAGCCGGGGTATCTTTCACTGTAAGGAACGACGCTCAAGCCTGAAGCGGGTGCTAGGAGCTGCGCTCTGTTACGTCCGAAACGCAAAACACTGGCAGCGTTAACAATGTGCGCAGCCAGTCACGCTTGTGAAGATTCGAACATTATGCTCCAAAAGTCAGACATGCGCAGCAGTTGTTTCCAACTGCGCCGCGTATCCGAAATTTACTGGACCACATGACCTCAGGCAAAGCTTAAAACCATTAACCAGCTCGGCCCGCTGCAAGCTCAAGCGTACTCAGTCACCCCGGAACTAGCAGACAACGTGACATCGAAGCTCGGCGCTAACGCCTTTCAATGGCTGTCGGTCACTGCGCGTATAGCCCCGGGCTGACACTCGCATCTGTTCAATCTTTTCGTGCATTGTGATTATAACGAATAGGTGAAAACATATTTTAAGATGAGCATATGTTCGTTTCGTTGTGCTAATAATGAAGCAATGACTCACCAAAAATAAAAGTTTCTGGGGTTTCGGTGCTGTTAGGGGACCTCGGGCTAGTTAGTTCAAGACATCCGCGAACCATTGTTGTGCCATTGTCGTTGTGGTGTTACACTCGGGCCCGTGCCAGAAAGGGGGGAGGGGGCGAAGCTTAGACCCGCTCGCCGCAAAACGCGGGTGGAGGGGGTGTTTTTCCGAGGAAAAAACTTTCAAAAATAGGTGTTCTCAAGGCTTTCAACAAGTGCCCCTGACCCCCCCTGGAAAAAGAATTTTGGCCTACAAATCTGGTTGCACCTGTTTTTTAAAGGGACACAAAAAAGAAAAAAAACACAATTTTTTTCGTGTTTGTAAATTGCTCTTTCACAATATCAAAATTGCCTCGCTTGCTGGGAAAAGATGCTTGGTCTGGGAGAAAAAGCACAAAAAACAAATGGCTGGCCAATGCACTGATTGCCGTGACGTCATTTCAACTTCGTCTACTAGGGTCTATGTAATTCCTAACCAGAGAGTATGTAGTACATACTCTGCTGGAGGCATAGATGCAGCACTCCAAGCTTTAGGGTATGTCGTCAAGGCTATGTCACCAAAATACACGTCTGCATTAAATTTTAACACCTGCAGGTAAACTTTTTAAATTTATTTTTTTTAACACGCACCTTCCTTGAAATTTCATTGCGCCGCGTGCATGTGTCAATGGTGTGGAACCAACAAAAGGAATCTCTTGATTTGAAAAAAAAAAAGTTTGGCCGCATATGTTAATTACGCTCAGTAACTTTTGAAGGTCAACGCCTGCTGCTCATTTCATAGTCCATTAAGTTTATATGCAGTAGCCTTCTTTCAATACACAAGCAGCCGCAGTGTGACATACTCACATTGACGGTGCTAGCCGATTCAATTGTTCCTTTCTTCCTCAAGCTTCTTGTCCCTCACGTACGTTTTGCTCGACTTTTGGGATCGGCGCATCTGTTTTGGACGAAGCAACGATGCCTTGTAATGACGTCATCATGTGACGACACGATGACGCCACAAATTGAAGCTATCAGTGACGTTACAACATGACGTCATTGGTGACCTAAAGAACGTGAATTTTTGTACAACTTCACTCGTTTGAGCCGTGTTCCACTCTAGGGACCACTCAATGACACAAGGTTTTCGTCCTAAAGGGGCCCTGAAACACTTTTTTGAGTAACCATTGAATTAATTCACTGGAAAAGCGTATTGCCTCACGAATTCAACGCCGCAAAAATTTTAAGAATCCGTCCAGTACGAGTAGAGTTACAAAGATTTGTCGCACGTTGCAATCGCATTCTTTTTTCTCTAGTCCCGACGAAAGCGCTAGAAGCTAAGCAGGGAGGAATGAAAGGGGCAAACAAAAAACGTCACGCGTGTTTCGTGACCTTGAGCACTTTCTCTTTTTTTCTTCGAATACGTGGCTTTTTCAGTGCGATCGCGCGCGCACGCGTGCACAGGTGACGGCCTCTCGCGGCGATCTCTGTAACAACCGAGCGCGCCATGATAGGCAATCTACGTGTGATTTTCGAGCGTCTTCCGTCATTTGTCGAGAGAAGACAAAGTAATTTTTAGCCAACTTCGATAGTTTATTTTGAATTATAGGCCGCGTGCTGTGCTATAACATTTGGCTCGCGTGTTCTGGAAGCCTCTACTACCGATCGGCAGTGTTTTCTGACCATGCTCAAAAAGTGTTGGATGGGCCCTTTAAAAAAGTAATAGGTTATATGAGATGCATAGTCAAGTCCATTAAACTTGGTTTGTACGCTAGTGTCGGCAGTTCGGTTTAGCTCTGCTCTTCTTATTACTCAAAAAAAAAAAAACGGTGCGAAAAGCTGAATCCGCGTTGTTGATTAAAATCGGCATGGGATCTCAGCCTCATAAGCAGGATTCTGTGGCCTCCACGAGCATGCAATATCAAGCGTGTAACTCGTGTTTTTTTTTTTTTTTTTTTTCATGTACGCAACCCAGATAGACCCGTTCGCCCTCGTCGTGAGCGTTATATTTCGCTCTTTTTTTTTTCGGAGTCCTTATTGTTGGCGCGATGACAGCGTAGAAAGTGAAGCACCTGTTTGACGAGCACTGTGAGGTGGACGCGGATGCCAGTGCACAATGACGGCTTTTCTGACAAAGGCGTGGTGTGCAAGCGTGACGACCCGCTGCGCTTGGCGACGTCGACGAAAACCAGGAAGAGCGAGGCCCTGAGTGAAAGCCGGATTGGCGCGAGGAAAATGCGGAATAATGAAGCACCGGTAGGTGGTGCGAGGGACTGGTGGTTCGACGTTGGCAGCCCGCTTATCTCAAGACGAGCTGCGGTTCACTCAATAATAACACTTGGAACTGAAGAAACTAAGCATTAAAAGTATAAAAGAAAGAAATCGTGGACATCGAACGTATCTGTTATGATGGAATATGAGAAGCCTGCGCTTCCGTGCTGAGCGTAGTGAAAGTGGGTGGTGGTTTCACCCCTTTTATGTATGTTTTCCCTTTGTGTTTGTGTGTGCGTGCGTGCGCACGCGCAAACAAAATGTAAAGATTTTCGGGGGTTGGGGAGCGGGGAAGCGGTGGGTTGAATGTTTTATCCCTATAGCTTCCGTACGGCAGTCCAGCGAGACGTGAGACAAGTGGCTGATCTAGTAAAAAAGAAAAAAAAAATGGTGGTAGCTACACACTAGTGGTTTGAAGATCGACAAAACAAGTAAGGTAACAGGTGGCTTTTCTATCCTACTCACTTTTACATCACTCTTCCTCACCGTCACTTCCATTTCTAACTATTTTCTGTCTATGAACAAATGTTCCATGCGGTATTTTCTCCCATCTTCCTTTCCCTCATTCTCACTTCTCTTTCCCACCTGCTTGCTCTACGATGCCATATACCACTATAGTACGTTTTACCCTCTCCCATCCTACTTTCTCTACTTCTCGCCCTCCCATTACAAAAAGAAATGCGTACTAAAAGAAAATGCGAGCGGCGACGCCACCTTGAAATTCTCGCAGCAAGAGTCGTGACGTCATAGAGTCCGGTGGCATCTAACAAACTACGTTGGAATGGTTAAACGAAATACGTTACCCTCTCAGTGCGCTGTAAACTCAAATAACTGTTTCAGAAAGTTGCGTTGAGCCATG